TTTTTTTTTTTTTTTTTGCAGAACTGGGGATTGAACTCAGGCCCTTGCCAGGGAAGCACTTAATTCTACTGAGCCATCCCCCCAGTCCCTTATATATTCATTATACTAAGAGTTTTATTATAGACTCTGGAATACTCTTGAGTGTTTCTACATTGCTTTCCCTGTCTTTCAACTCATGCCACAAACGGAGACCAAATTTTTTTTTCTAAAATAAAAACGGAGAAAGCATGTGGTATAGTCTGGAAGGAGCAGAAGCTGTGGAATCAGAAAAATCTGGGACCTTAACCTTGCTCTGACATTAACACACACAGGATGACAGGTGTCGCGCACAACGGTCTCTCCAGTGCTCCAGTAAGCCTAAATCCCGGAGAAGAGCGTGTGAAAAGAAACACGTAGACGTCTCCACTGTTTATATAACTTGCTCCCAATCGACTCCTTCCGAGGAACTATCCAACTGACGAGAGACAGATGAGATGTCCTTTTGCTTTAATTTTCCTAACAGTCCCATTTAGCGTGGCTTTGGTGTGTGACTGAAATCCACACCGTCCCTTTGCTCCAGTTCACCCAGTAACCTCAATTCCGAGCGCCAGCCTGCGACCCGGAAGTAGAATCCGCCCTTCCTCCTCCTTCTAACCAATGGTCTCGGGCTCGGGGTTCCACCGTCTGGGCTGGCAGGGTCCGGGCGAGCGACGCGGGCGGCGCGTGCGCAGTGGCGCCGGCTGCCCTTCCGGCGAGCCCGGAGCGGAGGCGGTACGGCCAGGAGTACGTCCCCACGCACGCACGTCCTCCTTTATTCGCGCCGCCGCGGCCGTTCCCGCGTACGCCAGCCGCGCCGTTCATTCTGTCAAGATGCTCCGGGCCTGTCAGTTGCCCGGCGTGACCGCTGCGGCCCAGGTGAGCGCGGGGGCTCTCGGAGAAAGCGCGTGAGGGAGCTGACTCGGGACAGCCGAGGGAGGACGGGAGAGGCTTCGGCGCCGTCCAGGCCGGGGACAGAGGCGTTCGCCTGAGCAGCCCGGGGCGGGCCAAGGTAGCACCCTACACGGGAGTTCGCGGGGCTGGGTTCCTGGACGGTTACTACAGGAGCGGGATGGGGTGTGGAGAGGTAGCGGGGCGGGAGGCGCGGCCTCGGGGACTTGTCATCCAGTCAGCACCGCGCTGCCCGAGGCGAGGACCAATCCCGGCTGCTGCCTTCCGAGCCGCAGCTTGGGCGCGTGTTGAGTTTCCAATGGTGAAGGTCGTGGCGGGAGAACTACAGTTCCCAGCAGGACGTGCGGAGCCGCGGCTTGTTGCATCTTTAATGAGGAGGTGCCTGGACTGCTTGAGAGCGTCCGCGTTTGAGGGGTCAAGGTTGTAATTAACTGGGAGGAACTTTCGTTTCGTAGCTGAGTACACCTTTGCTCTATACTAACTCTAAAAAGCAAAATTTTTTCATTTATGGTGTTTAAACTCCCGGTACTTGAAGTAGGACAGGAGTCGTGACCTTGTGCTCATTTGTGGGATTAGCTGGAGGATCTGTGTCTCCTGGCTCGGGGACAGCTGTGCCTGACATTCAAGGAGGCATCGTGATCCCAGTTTTTTTTGTTGTTTTAATCTTCCTTAACTGCCCAAAATAACTTTCTAAAATTGACAATAAACCTATTTTACATTGCTATGATTTTTAGAAAGTTTATGTTTTGAGATTGTGCTGTATTCCAAAACGGTGACTCGAGTAGTACTTTTTTTCCCCCAAGTTTGCTTCTCTGCCCATGGCTGGGGTAAGAATAAGCCTCTTCTGCAGGGAAATGGGACCCCTATTGGTTTTCTGTTGCAATGTAACAAATACCACACATTTATCAGTTTAAAACAGTGTGTATTGATTATTTTAGTTTCTATAGGGTAGAAGTTTAGACATGAATGCTTAGATTCTCTGCTCAAAATTACAGAAGGCTATTAACAAGTATTTGCCATGATGTGGTTCTCACTTGGAGATCAAGTTCTTTGTCCAAGCTCATGAATTCAATTCCGCACAGAATTGAAGTACCAGTTTTATTGGTTTTATTGCGGGCTGTTGCTAGCCACTGCGCTCAGCCAGCAGTTTCTTTTCATAAGGCCCCCAGAGGTCATTCACAACATAAATGGTTGCTTTCTTGCAAGCTACCAGGAGCTTGTCTCTCATTTCAGAATCTCTTTCTTCTTTATCTTTGATCTGTAGGCCGAAGATTTAAAAGACTTAATGTGATTATGCTACATTCTATTAATTCAGGGACAACTTCTTGGGATGCTAATTAGAAAATTTAAAAAACTGATTAAAACTAAACACAGGGGGCGGGGAGACAGCTCAGTAGGATAAGTGCTTGACTGGCAAACGCAAGGATCTGAGTTCAATTCCTGGTTCCACCAAAAAAATAAATAAATAAATAAATACAATATGAACCCTTTCTTTTTGGGACCGGATCTTACTGTATGCTCTAGGCTGGCAGGACATTTTACTTGCAAATCATCTTGCCTCAGTGCTGAGATTAGAAATATGCCTGCCATCCTGCCCAGCTTGTACATGAATTTTCTAAATTCTTGTTTGATTTTATTGTTACACAGATTATTCAGTTTCATCAAATCCCATTTTAAATGTCTTTCCTGCCTGTCAAAGTCAGTTGTTTAAATAGTGGTTAGTAAACATTTATTTACTTATTTTTTTGCAACAGGGTTTTGTTTATATAGTACGTGCTGGCCTTGAACTCACTATGTAGCCCAGGCTGCCCTGGCTATTGTGGTGGTCCTCCTGCTTCAGCCTCCAGAGTCCTATGATTACAGGTGTGTGTCACCATGCTGCCTAGTTCTTTCTTTTTTGAGACAGAGTTTTGCTATGTAGATCGTTGTGTAGCCCCGGCTGCCTCAAACTTTTGGTGCTTCTCCTACCTCAGCCTTCTGAATGCTGGGATTATAGCTGTGCACTACCACACCCGGCTTTAAGTAAATCTTTTTTTTTTTTTTTTTTTGCGGGGATTGAACTCAGGTCCTTGCGCTTGCCAGGAAATTGCTTATTCCACTGAGCTATCTCCCTGGCCCTTAATTAAATCTTAAAAGCATGCACATCATGCCATGCGCTTCATTAACATAATCATCATGTACATAGCTAACCATACATACCCACCAGGCCCTTCAGAGCCTGACTCCTATGCTTTTGTCTTACATAGGTCTTTCTATTTTCCCTTACTCTGTTTTGGTATCTCCAGCATATATCTCACTGTGTTTTCATTTGGTGTTTAACTTTCCACACATCTTTGGTGAGTTCATTCCCTTCTTGCAGGTGTTTTCTCAAATATTACCTTCCTTTCAGAGAGGCCTTCTTGAACATACTTAAGGCTACTTTCTCCTTTCTTGCATTACTCCGTCTCTACTGCAACTATGATTTTTGTAGATTTTAGTACTACCTGACGTTAATAATGTCTATTTATTGTGTGTTTCCCACATTTAAAGTGTGTGCTTCAAAAGGCACTGTGTTCATATTGTTCACTTCTATATTTGCAGTACTGACCGTCCTTTGCTCCTAGTAGATGCTCAATTAGGGGCACATTTGTGATGTGTTTGAATGACAGAATGAATGTGTTCTGTGAATTTTTCTTAATTCCTGTAGCTACATATGGCCTCCCTTTAAGCACTCCGTAGATTTTGGTACCTCTAATGGTGTTTTACTCAGGGTTCTCCAGAATATAATGGGATTTATTATAAGTTATGGAGGTTGCCAAGTCCAAGATCTGCAGTGTGGGATGGCACACTCAAGACCTAGGAGAGACAGTGGTTCAGTTTTAGTCTGGGACCTAGTAGCCTGGAACCTTGAGAGGGCAGCTGGCACACTTCTCTGAAGGCAGTGTGCTGGAGACTTCTTTGTTCTTTTTTGTATTCAGTCCTTCAACGGATTGGATGGGTGCTAGTTTTAATATTAGGTATATCCAAAAC